GCATTTTGTCCCTCCTAATAATTTTTTTTTATTTTTGTAAAGATAAAAAGTATTAATATTACTTCATAGATATTTTAGTAATATTAAAAAAAAAAAAGATATTAATAAAACTTTTGAGGGTGGAAAGAGTATTTTTTTTTTCAATATTATTATTAATATTTTAATTTTAAAAGTATTAATGGCTTTCATGATTTTAATGATTTTAAGATTTTTTTAATATAAGAAATTATTATTTTTTAATAAATAAATGGTGAGAAAATAAAGGTAATATTTAAAAAAAAAAAATGAGCCCTCGAACATGATTATTGTAATAGAAAAGTTATGAAAATAATCAAATTAATCCAAATAGTGAGTAAAAATAAAATAAAAATGAACAAGAAATAAAATATTATCCGGAAAATAATTATAATTATAATATAATGTATTGAGAAAAAGATTATTTTTTTCTGCCTACATTTTGATTCGATTCCATTTCACAGCCTGAGGGTCAGGTCTAGTTTGCTGAAATACAGTTGACGGCCGTCGTCGTCTTCACCTCCGCCGCCCACTTTCGGTAAGCATTTCTCCAACTGATTTATATAAGGCTTCGTACAATCGCCGGTCGCCTCCTCCGCCGCATTCCAATTCGTAAGGTACTGACCGACAGGCGGCGGATACGACGGCGGTCCCTCTCTAAACAGGCTTCTCGCGAATGGAGAGAGTTGATTTGGCCAAAGCGATTCCGCCGCGTCAAAACCTAGCGAATTAGGAGGCACTGAATATCTACTCGGCAGAAACATCGCCGTCGCTCGCGGCGGACCAGGCGGAAGCCGATGCGTTTGGCTTCGTTGTTGACTCTGTCTTCTGGAAGCTGTAGCAGAGGAGGCGCCTTCATCGGAGACGTGAGCTCCGATATGGTTAATTAGGGCTTGGCTACTGGAAAACACTGCATCGCAGATCCGGCAAGCGACCAGTGGACTGCCCGGAATCGGAAGTGGCCGTAGATGGTGGAGATCGGCGGCGGTTGCCCGGCCAAATTCGGCCATAGCGGTGGTGGGGAGAGATTTGGGCGGAAGAAACAGGGGAGGATTGAATTTTGCACCGAAGGAATTGATGGATTGGGCGCAATTTATAGGTGAAGGAAAATCCCTTAAAATTATTGTGTTCTTAAAAGGATTTAATGAAAGATATAATTAATTTAATTGTTTGGAATTAATTATTTGAAGTGTCAATTAACTAAGTTTATGAATAATTAATGGTAGTTAAGTTCTTGTCAAAATTAGTTAGTAATTGGGACACCATTATCCCTTAGTAATTATCAAAATTATCTCGACCGATAATTAATAATTTTTTTTATTAACGAAAATAACTTTTTTCCGCTAATATCATGTTTTAAAAATACTCATGAACTTTCAAGTTAAAATTCCTAGAAGAACTCTCGATAAAAGACAGATTAGCTGTTTTTGTTATTACTTCCCGAGTTGAAGGGAGGAAAACTAACGTATCTTCAGAGAGAAATATTAAGTACTAAAAATACTCGAGAAGTAACGCATCTAATGTTCAATGAGATCGGACATGCATATAAACACACAATATGTGTGTGATTCCACATCGGTTGGAGAGGGGAACAGAGCATTATTTATAAGAGTGTGAAAACCTCTCCCTAACATACTTATTTTAAAAATCTTGAGAGGAAGTTTGAATGGAAGAACCCAGAAAAAATACAATATCTGGTAGTGGTGAGCTTGAGTCGTTACAATAAGGGTATGCAGTATGAACATGTAGGCCTAAATCGATAGCTAGTCAATGGAGTCGAGCCTCACCCGTCTAGCGCCTCATGATCATGATATTAAACGAGCAATCATCACCATACTTGTCATGATAATACATGTCATTCACATTCATGCATGCAAACCCGTAACGAACTTTATTTTGTATTCATAATAATACATGCATTAAACTCACATAATACAACATGCATCATATATATTCGTATTAGCCCTAATATCATCCCTGAGGAAAGTTGCATACTTGCTCGGCAATCAAGCGTAAACAAATCTTAAACCTAACTCAAGGCTACTCAATAATCCAAAGGGTACTCGGGAGAGTTGTTAACTCGATCTTATCCAATGTCGTGTCCCAAAAACAACCCTAAACCAAATGCAAAATGAATAAAACTGAGTGTGAACTAGAGAAAACATCGATATGAATTAAAGAAATCAATTGAACCAAACTGAAAATCGGACAAAAATTTACTAAATCGAGCTGAACGGGACCGAACCAACCTAAAGTAGACCTATGAGGAGATTGAGAAGAAAACGATCGAAAACACGAGACTATGCACAAAGCCAAAGAGAACGAAAGGGGAAAAGAACATGACTATTGTAAGTGGATTATCGATCTGAGGGAGACCTTAAGTGGTCGACACTGCTCGATCGAGACAACCATGTGAGAATGCAAGTTGAGCTGGAAATGCAACGTCGATTAGGGTTTTTCAACTTTTTTTATTTTTTTCAATCTGTTACAAAAACAAATACGATAACATAGTAAAATCAACAAATTTGAGTATAGTTCAGTAGATAATACTAATACATTAATTATCATTTCAAAAATCGATGATTCGATTTTCGACGCAGCCGAGTTAATCAGCCGCACTTCATTTATAGCAACTCCATCAAAATTATGCAAAATTTTTTACCTAATTTTTGTTTGAATGCAAAATGCTTTATTTGTTTGAATGGTAATATTATGAAGCATTAAATGAGTAATTTGGTTTAATTTGTGTGTCCAAATTTGGAAGGAGACCTGTCTTCTTTAAATAATAAATTATTACAACAAAAGGGTTATAAATTTTAACAATTTTTCATAGATTTTTCACAACATTTCCAATTAATTCTTTTGGTAATACATTTAATTTCCTCCTAAAATTGATAAAAATACAAAATTTGAGAAACAAATTAATTAAAGTCATTAATAACATTCCATAAATGGGTTTTCTAAATTTCATTAAATTCTATAATTGCATTTATACAACCTAATGAAATGCTGGGTATTTTAATTGATTTTTCTTTCTACAAATATTATATTATTATTTTTAAAACATTAATGGCAATTAATCCTATAATTTTCTTCTTGTTGATAATGTTTGGAGGTCACAAGATTACATTCCATAATTAAAATTAAGAATTAATTTCTCATTAATGAAGACATTTAAGGAACAAATTGAGTGTCTTAGGAGTGTTCTTTATTTAAAAGTATAAATCTAAATTTTTTTATTTTATTTTTTAGACCAATTTTTTTAATTGCTAAATTTAATGATTTGAATATGGTTTATGTCACATCAATTTTTTTTTATCATATTTAATATTATTTTGGAAGCCAATAGTCAACGGAATTAATAAATTAATGTATATAAAAACTAAAATTTTAATTTTAATTTTTCATGTTAATAATTAAAGATTCATCCTCCACGTATTAGCATTTCTTATCTAGTTTTGTTATGGAGATTTATTTAATGTAATGAAGGAAAAAAGTTAATAAATATGGGGAATGGAGGATATAATTGGAAATATAAACATTATTTTGAGCATTTATTCCAATTTAAATCGTAAAAAAACTATTTTTATTCCGGATGTTTAGTTCATATAGATTTAGCTTTGTTGTGAAAAATATTATTATGAATAAAGACTAAGCGTTATGTAATAAAATTAACGCTTAGTTTTGATGAAATTCATCAGACGAAAGTCTAAATTGTAACAAATTGTAAAGTCAATCGGGACAAAATTTGTTAGAACAAAATTTAAGAGCTAAATTGTTTCTTCCATAAAAGTTTGTGTATCAAAAATGTTTTTTTTTTTTGTACCGACCCGAACGTTGACAATTTAATAGTTATTGGTTTAATATTCAAATATACTTTTTACCAAATATGCTTTAAGTTAATTCTCTTCAAGTTAATAGTTTCAAAAAATTCCTTACCTGATAAATGTATATTATATTTTACACTTTTATATATTAATGAAAAAAAATCATATTTCGTATATTTTGACGTAAATTTTTTCTGTGCTAAAATTTTCAAGTGCCTATAAATTCTATTGGAACAAATGTTAACATCAAAGTAAAAATGAATTGTGAGATCCTATATCAATTGAAGAGGGAAACATAATATTTCTTATAAAAGTGTGGAAACCTCTCCCAATACACATTTTATAATCATGAAGTGGATGACAATAGTAATGGACTAAAGCGGACAATATTTATTAACGATAGGCTTGCGTGGTTCCAAATGATATTAGAGCTAGACACCAGATAGTGTCTTAGCGAAGACGCTGGCCTCCAAGAGAAGTGAATTGTGAGATCCTACATTGGTAAGAGAGAAGAAGAAAACAAAACATTTCTTATAAGAGTAGAAACCTCTCCCTAATAGACGTATTTTAAATCATGAGACTAACGATGATATGTAACGGACAAAAATAGACAATATCTACTGACGCGAGTAGTTAGATAGCTTAAAATAATCCATTCTTTTTCACCTTAGCTTATAATTGAGACTTAGAATTAGTTCACCCTTAAGCCTTAAAGCAGTTAACAAAATAAACTTTGATCAAAAAAGGGAGAATAACTTGAAGTCCATTCATATGGAGGATATTAGGATGAGAAAAAAAAATCTAAGCTAAATTTCAAAATATACCCATAAATTTTACGCTTTGTTTGAGCATAAAAAAAATGAAGAAGTCCATTAGTTTAACAAGCGAAAAAAAATGAAAAGAAGTTTATTTGTTTAACAACGACGATGAAAAGATTCAAACCTTAGACTTCTAAATTAAAACCTTATGAACTAGTGACAGTTAGAAGTAGTTAAATGAAACATGATAACTTCTTTTCCACATGAAAATATAACCTTATACATTCGGAACCATGCAAATTCATGCAACATCTTAAGAAATTTTACTAGAGACTACGAAAGTTCTAAAAGAAGGTTTTTTTTTTGAAGTATTCAACCGACTTTGCCATAAAGAAAAACAGGAAGGAGAAGTGTCGACGCTATACATTGATTTCGGGATGAAGATTGTGATCGACATACAATTTTAGGTGTGCTAATTTGGCTAGGAATCTAACGAAACAACATCAAATTCGATTGGTAAGAGCTTTAAGCGTTCAATTACAACAGTAACACGAACAACGAAGAAGCAAGAGATATGTGGTGCTGCTGCAAATAAAGAATTGAGCAGAAGAATGGAAAAAGGATATCATGGAAATATGCAAAGCATTGAATTTAGTCTCACATGGCCGGGTGGGCTTACCTAGCCTGCAGGGAAACTTCATGTAATGTACACTTCTTGAGTGGCCAAACTTTGTAGTGGTGCGAAGCACATCTCTCGTCTCACATCCAATATTGCGATCAACCAGAGTACTATTTATGTGTTTACGTCGCCTGCATTTAAAATCACACCAAATGAGAAGCTAATACATGACACAAACAATAAGCTCTTGTGTGCTCCTAGCGAGTCGCCTAATACCCTATCTTGGCCATTCTCTTGGCAGTAACCAAGCTTCAAGGCATATTGATCAACTATTATGGAAAGGGTTACGGCTAAAAAAATAAAAAAATAAATAATAAATAATAAAAATAAAAATAAAATCCTATCTTTTTCCCCTCGATGATGTTAGGAATCACAACCTCTACAACGGTATGATATTGTCCATTTTAAGCATAAGCTCTCGTGGCTTTGCTTTTGGTTTTCCCAAAAGGTCTCATACCAACGAAGATAATGTTCCTTACTTATAAACCCATGATTTTCCTCTTAACTAACCATGTGCAGGCTCACTTTTCACATGTGCTTTGTCCATTTTTCCCATCTATTTACCCTGTTCTGTTCATATGTAAAGGGAAGTTCATCTAAGCAATTGGAAGGCTGCTTCTCACTGCATTCAGCTAGGTGTCGTGGGCATTGGAGAGACATCAGGAGTGGAAATATCTCTGTGATTACTAAATGGCTTTGGAGGCTTTATCTTGAAAGAAAGCTTTTTGGTGAATATGGGAATGAGGACGGGCAGCTTTATAGATGAGCTTCCGCTAGTTCCGTTAGCCCTACGGTTGCAATTGCTAGAACCAAGGAAATTTTGATGGAAAGTGACTTTTTATATGTGGCAATGATTCAAATTTTAATTAAGTTTTGGGAAGATTTCAGGAGAGATGGTCCTCCTTTTGTGAGTTCTTCCCTTCTCTGTTACCCATTACTGATAGCCTAAGTTAGATTAAAGTTGGGTGGTCGAACACTAATGTAACGTCCAAGTCTACCACTAGCAGATATTGTCCTTTTTAAGCTTTTCCTTTCGGGCTTCCCCTCAAGGATTTTAAAACACTTCTGCTAGAGAGAGGTTTCCACACCCTCATAAAGAATGTTTCGTTTTCCTCTCCAACCGATGTGAGATCACACAATCCACTCCCCTTCAAAGCCTAGTGTCCTCGCTGGCACTCATTCCTCAACATGGGATCTCACGACTAAGATGTCATAATAAAAAAAAAATGTTAACAGAGCAAACTCCAAAGAGAACCTTGTAAGAAACAATATTCAGTATCTCTTCGAGCTCCCTAGAAGAGTTCCCATTTCTTCTGGTGGTGTTCTTTCTCCTCAGCTCATGGCAAGAACTACTACCGAGATGCTTTCATTTTCTCTTCTGCCGTCCCTAAGAAAGTTCAGAATTTTTTTTTTGTATAGATTTGTGTGACTACCCTTTTAAAAAGAAAGCACAAGTTTAGAAGCCTAATGCACTAGAGAGTAATTATTTGGGAATTTTGGTTGAAAGGATATAAGAGAATTGTCTAAGGGAAATATCTTTAGTTGAGTTGATGAAGGTTTAGTTCTTGTCCCTCCTGGAATTATATTCACTCTTTATTTCTTTTAAAATCCTTCACCATTTGAGGAGGAGGAGGAGAAGGTTTAACCATCCATCAACTCAGACATCTCCCACTTTCAACTGGAAGCAAATTCAACAGCTCAAACTAAAAAAACAAGAAGATGAAGGAAAAAGGAGGAGGAATTGATTACCCATACGTCAAAAAGGAGCCTCAAGTGACTCATCCCAGGCATCACTTGCATTTGAAGCATCTTCAGCTTCTTCTTCCATGGAAAGACGAATATATTCTCTATGAGCAAATCGATCCCATTCCGTTAAAGTTGGATCCTCATGTTCCTAACAAAATAGAATATTAATTTTCTCTTCAGCACTTCAAAGTACAACATAGTTGAAAGCGCAAATCCATTTGCCACAAATTTGAGCCAAAAACACCACATCTACCTGACGGATTAGGAATGGATCACGACTTTCAAAAGCAACGAACTTGTTGAGATTGAAAAGGATGTTGAAAACATGTCCAGCAAGTTTGCAGTTTTTAATATCTCGCAATGTTATGCATTCCTCATTCTATATATGAAACAAAACGCCAATAAAATTCGTACTCAGCAGAAATAAGTTATGAAAATAAAGGAGTGAAGCAATAGCTAGGACAAGGAATTGACCTCTGGTCCGATCATATCAAAAATCTGGCACAATATGTCCTCAAAAAGCACTGGTTCCTGAGCCATACACTCCATTCGGTGCAACTGCTCTTCAAAAAAATAGTGCATTTCTTTCCTTGTGAGCACTCCATTTCCGTCTAGATCAATGCATTTGAACCTAGAAAAGGGAATCAGGAAGATCAAGCAACACCGTATTTTTGGATTATACATTATACCCCCCAATCCCCAAACCCCAAACAAGATAAAGATATTCCCTCCACTACATCTGAATTGAGACTATGAAAGGATCTCCAATTGATTTTTGCTAGGAAAGAAGAAAAAATAACAAAATAATCAAGATAAGGATCTAAATTGATGAGAGGTCGCAGCTGAAATGATAAAGGGAGATGCAACACAAAATTATTAGAGAACTCTTTCTATTTAATCTTGCAGTAGATTAGATGATCTGGGTCTGGAATCCTACTTTTTTCCATGCTTTCTTGTATTTAAGGCATTGAGTTTTTTCAAGAAATATTGATTTTGCAAATTTCATTCATGTTCAAACCGTTATTTGTCTGTTCGAATTTAAAATACCTTAAATTGAACTACATTATAAAGTTCACACAAAACCTCCAGACACGAGTAAATATACCAGTACTCAAGACTAGGTTCAGATGATTTATCCTCTTCAGCCAAAATGAAGAACACAAAGTCTTCATACCCCATCCTCCCTTCAACGTTACAAGTAAATTTTCTTGGAACCTAACAGGAAAAGACAGCAAATAAAAAGCTTGTTGGCCCAAGAATAATCCAAGAGAAAAACCAGTCAATAGATGAATAATCCAAGGGGAAAAATTCAAACCTGAGAAAAGATTCTATCGACAATCCGATATGTTAAAGCATGGTTACCATATTTGATAACATTCTCTTTCTCGATAAAAAAATCATGATCATTGTCAAGCTCCCAAAATTTGCAATATATGACATAGAAGTGTTCGTATGAGAAGTACCTACACCACACAAGGACAATCGTAATGAAAAAGATCCAAAATCTAAACAATAGCAACATATGTTTTTAGCACATAAAGAAAAAAATCAGGTAGAACTTATTTTGAAGAAAGATTAATTTTATTTTTTAAAAAAATCATTATTTCATAAAATGACAGAAAAAGTAATTTTACTATCTCCTAGACAAAACAATTGAGACATAAGGAGTCTGTTATCATGTTCAAGTTTCCTTTAGAGAATACAACTATGTGATTAGAGTGTATCAAGATAACTGCCTCTAGATAACATCCGATTTCCTAGAAGAAAACTGAGTGTTGTCAACATATGAGCATACTTCAGGACTTTGTTGATATCTTCTTCCTTGTCCACATGCTGCATTGCAGCAATTAAGTTGCCACGCTTCAACTCCCTGAGGGTAATACGACCGTTACTGGATCTGTTAATATAGTAAAATATCCTGTATATGACTGTTTCAGCTGTTCCATTCGTAAGAGAAAGTACACATCGAATCAGTTTCACATTGCAAGACATTAGATACATGTGAACATTGGACCCATGTGTAAATTAGACTAGCAAGAAAATTTTGAACCATAAATAAAAAGAGGAAAATCTACTGAAGTTTTCAAAATTTGCCTTGGATTTGGAAACATCTCTAAAAAGTAGATAACAAAAAAAAAAATCATAGGTGGAAGTAATAAGCTTAATTTCAAAAGCTAAAAACAAAAAGTCAATTGGTTATGAGATAAGGTCTGGGTAAATTATGGAAGTAGGGAAAAGTACATGAGGTTGAGAACATGAATAACTTCAGAAAATAGAGTTGAATCTTTTCCGCTAATTAGAATTTTTAAATCAAATGCTCAAACAATTAACATTGATAATGTTTACTTGGGTTGAAACATTGTATCATCACTAAAACTTCACTAGGAATATTTTAGTCAAAGTTGAAGCCCTTCAGAAGAATGTATTGGCAAATTGACACGTGGAAATCACAACCAAATTATATTAGCAAAAGAAACAGTGTGATCAAGGTCTAAATAATATAGAAACAATATATCTATAAAATCAGTTCCTGATTACACATCTGAAAAAGTAGTGTAGCTGTAATCTTCTCACCATATCTTTCCTGGAATTCTGGTGTACTTTGCAAAAATTCCAACCCCGGATGAGTTGCCAAAAGTTCTTGTAAGGCAGGTTTGAAATCATCCTGAATTGAAGATACAAATTTTTACTGAGGAAAGGGAAACAATTTTTCCCTGCGATATTTCTCAGAGAAATGAGCTCAGCCAAACTACAATTTTCAAAAAGGATTTTTGATTGTCATCAATGTTTGAATGTGAAGCACGTATAAGCAGCTTTTGATAGAAAACAATACCTGAACAAGGTAATTTCGCTCTGGCTCCTTGAGAATAGTAAATACTTGAGTTGCTAAATCCATAGTTAACATATTGCTCGTAACCCAATAATTAATGAACTGCTCTCTGCAAAATAAGCAAAAAAGTCATTACAGACTTCCAGAAAAAAAATCTACAAAACAAATACTCATTCAGTCATCAGGGTTTAATTAATAGTCCCATGTTGCTCAGATTCCAAGGATCATTCAATTATTCAACATATGTGGAAACAGAGCATAGAATCCTAAAAATGCTTTCATTTTAAAGTTCACTTCTAGATATTTTCACTTCCATTCTTAACTGCATACCTCGATACTTTTCCGCTGCAGTTAGCGTCAATCTTCCTAAAAAGAGTAGTGGAGAGATATGAAGGTAACTTGCAGATCTCCTTCGTGACTGATTTAAACTCTGCATTGAAAAAGGAAAATGAAAAAATGATTCCTTAAGAAACTAAAAAAAAAAAAGAGCCACAGGAACTAGCAAGAAAAGAGTATAAATGCATTACAGTTCATTCTCACCCTTTATTTGCACTCCATCCGAACGAGACAGAAAAATTTGATTCACTTTATATAGAAAATCTTCTGTCGTGGCATTCGGTGCTGGACGACCAGTTGTAAAATAAAACTACAAACATATTATAAGTCTCATGAGACTCTGTCAACTTGTAACATCTCTAATGCAACTTTGAACAGACAAACATACAAGCACTGCATACTTGGATTAATAATTAGCGAACAATCTACAGTTTCCTTTATACCTGTGGTATAGCCTCTCTTGCTGGCTCACAGACCAACTTAAGTGGAGAGCCTAACGAAGAAGGTCCAAACCTCTGTTTCACCATCCGTGGGGAACTGGATGCACTGCGTGGTGAAAGTGGAGGTGTACTGCCACCAGGAAACATGGAAGGTAGAGAATGATTAGAAACACCATCGATTCCAGTAGAGTTCCCGCCAACATTCAAAGAAGCACCGGACTTCGCATCAGTAATCAAAGAATTCACCTACGTTCAAAACAATAATTGGGAGGGAAAAGGGTCGTCAGAAGGAGGGAAAAATCAGATGAACGTTTACAGTATAAATTCCTATACAATACAAGAACTTCTGCCGAAGGAATCGCTATTCACTGTGTGGCTATGGAGAAGCGCAAGTAATTTCTAAAATTGATTAGTTTTCTCATTTGCCTACTTATAGGAAGCCATAAAGAACACCAATCATGACCTTGAAAGTACAGAACACTCGAGTAACATCGATTAATAGTTTCTAAACAAAGCGTAGTATTAGGATGAATCGAAGAAGTACCAGTCGGCCAGTCCCGGGAAGCGAAAGCCACTGCGAAAACAGCGCCTCAACGACATAAGGATTGGATTTCAGAGCAAAATAAGATACCTCAGGGAGCTGCAACATCTCCAGGTCCAGCGGGAACTCCAAGTCAGCTACAGCGTCCATATCCATCACGAATTCAATCCACCTCTCGTACAAACCGCAAATTCAAATCACCACAAACAGAAAACCTAATCCCCACTCTTCATGAACTCCACACTCGACTCTCACTCCACTGCGAAACACTTTAAAGTAAGATCTCCAAAAGCAAACGACGCAACAAAAACTGGTGATCAACAACACATGGAACCAAACCACCACGGATTTAGCTGACTCAGAAGCTCCGAAACCGGAAGAATCGCCGATGGAAGACAGTGACGGAGCTGCATGTGGAAGAAGAGAGGGAATTCGAGTTCGACGGAGGAATACTGCGATAATTGGATCCAAAGGGAAAAAAGGGCTTCACTGTAAGGGAAGCTGAGCCGACTCCGATTGAACTGTGACTGGACTGTAACTGCAGATCGACTGTAGAACAAAGTCGAGAAATCGTACGGATGAAAGTGCCCGTCGTTTTGTAAGTGGAAATGGAAACGGGGGCCGTTGATTTTCTCGACGGAAGCAGTATTAACGAATCAAGTTGGCTTTAGCTTTGCTAGGGCCCAATAATTGCTTTTTTTTTTAAATGGAAATAGTATTCTTTTAACCAATCCCTAAATTAATAAAAAAAAATAACTTTTTTTAACAAAATTAATAATACTTTCAAAATTTCTATTTAAAAAATACTCTTCAATTTTTACCAATTTTTAAAAAATATATTTAAACTCCAAAAAAATACTTAAAAATATATTTTCTGTAACACTTTTTATTCTTAAAAAAATCTTTTTTTATCGTTAATAGATTAACAAAATACGTCTATCAACACTTCATAGATAATCTCCTTTTGATATTATTTCTGAAAGTTCATTAATATTTTAAAAACGTGAATATAGGTGAATATAGGTGTGTGAATGCCTCCTAATAAACACCACAAATAAATTTAAGAAACTTTTATTGTTTTTCATACATATATAAGTGCAAGATCAAAATCAAAATAGTCAACCTAAGATATGCATTACTATAAGCAAATTTTTACCTTGTGTATTGAATTAGACGAACCTATACACTAACCATACTTAATATGGTCGATCCTGATTTTGGTTGAAATGAAGGAAGCCTGTTACTAAACTTAACTCGGGTACTGGGACTAAAATGAAACTTTCAAAGACAGAATCAAGTGTGTTAGGAACGTCCAAACGACGATAGAAAAGAGAAGATAATCACACAACTTAGAATGTGTTAATATGAATCTAAAATTTCGATATGTAAAATGATACAAGTTATAAACAACACAGCAAGTTAATTACAAGAACAGTAATTCTAGAGAATGGAACAAAGGAGACTTTGCATCTTGCATGAGGGGTTGGAAATAAATAAAAGTAAAGAATAAAGAACTCACAAGTCGGAGTTTGGAAAGAACCTATACCTCCCTCCATGGCAATATTTTACAGTGACCAATGGAAACAGAAGATCCAATTGCCAATCTGTGTTTTGTCTTTAATCACTCACTCCCAACAAATTAGCCCATTTTCCCTCTAAAAACCTTCCAGTCCAAAAATTTACCCTAATATCCAAAGCAACAGTTAAAAAGTAAGGGGTAGTCTCACCAAAAAAGCATGGTTGGTTTTTGGAAGCAACTCGGACAATGAGCTAAATCACGAATGCTTCTCGCCGGCGCTAATCGGTTTCTCGGGGACTTCTAGTTGGGGAGGCAAGAGTTTCAAAAAGCTGCCTTGAACGGGTTGATTCGTCACCGTTGCAGATTCGTTAGCTGTGGTTGGAGACCAAAGTGACAACTTAAAACGACATTAACGAAGGAAAGATGCTTAAGAAATTCTTCGTGGGGCAATCATTACGGAAACAATGGGCATAATAAAATGCAAATTCAAGAACAAATAATGGAATAGCAGCAAGAAAATGAAGGTTTCCTAAGGGCTTGAACATTACCAAAAAGAGATTTGATGGAAGGTCTTGTAGATTTTGCGCTCTTCTTCTTCAATTCAGCTGTTAATAAAAGACGCAGACAAGTCATCTAAGATTATTAAAATCGGCCATGTAAATGGATGTCGTAAAAGACAATATCTCCGATCAAGAAAAGGGAGAATGCGTTTCATGTATTAACAACAAACATTTTAGTTATGTATGAACTAAAGAAACATCTATCTTAACATTAAACGGTATATTAGTTGAATATTATTCTGCCATGAAATGGTTCCCAAACATATATAAGAGAAAACAAAGATAATATAGCTCATCCTTCGGAACCATATCACATTCCTGATCTGATAAAATAGGATGAATTGAGATGGTATTTTGTAAATACGTAATAATCTCGAATATATTAGCTATTTCTTCCAAATAAATACATACTAAAGCACTGTGGATAAACATGAACCCAAGAAATGAAGATAGAAGCCATAAAAGATTTGTCAGTATAATCTACCTTTTCACGTGTACGACTCGACTAAACAATAGCCTTCCCCGGAAAATACGATTGAAAGTTGAAATGAGTAACCAAGCCAACCAATACAAAAACCTACATTGCCTCTAGTGGCATTACTACCAGTAATGAAGAAAAACATGCTGTTATTTGGTTTTTGGGTAGTGTGAGAGGGGAAGTGAAAAGCAAAATATATATATCTGATGGAATTCTTTCTTCAAATATGCATTAAAAATTGAACCGACTACAAGAGAAAAATATTGTAAGAGGTTTGCAAAGAGATACCTATTCCAGGCAACTGATTATCATCAATGATTTCCAAGTTTTTGTACGTATAACCCACAAAATTGACGTCCTTCGATGATAACATCTGCATTAAACAACAAAAAGATAAGCAAACAGGCCGAGCATATATTGTCCTATATTTCCAGATCATCGTCTGTGTCTTAAATACGAACAACGTCGTATAAAACAATGGCCTAACGTCTCTCCCCAAATGAAAAGAGGAAAAGCAATGGTTCTAGTCGTTAAGAATCAAGAAAAGATGAATTTACTTGAAAAAACCAAATGTTTGTTTACCACCCCAAAAGCTGATTCCCATATGGCAAGAATCATACTGAAGTTCAAGAAATTAGTCATTCGTTTTTTTAAAAAAAAAAGTCAACAGTTGACACGTTAAGCCTCCAACCAGATGACCTTGTTTGACTCAATTAGAAGTTGCCTAGTATTACAAATTTATGGCATTGAAATAAAGCCGCTTCTCCAACTTCAAATCAAACGAGTGACTGAAGTCTGAAAAAAACACAGTAATTTTATCATATATCTTCAGCTAACTCCCCAAAAATGGATTTGATTGAGAAAGCGACAACAGAAAAAGAAAAAAAAAATAACTATCATCCAGCATATCAGGATATTATAGATGCAAGGTATAGAATGGCCACAGTAAATATTTTTGTCACTGTAAAAGTAAAACCCGATTCCAATGGTTTTCAATAAACAAATGATACATGATCAGGAGCCTGACAAACTAACCTTTCTCCATGGACCTGATTTTGATGACGTCTGAATTGCATTTTCAGTCTATCACAACATCCATAATCAGATAGACAGAACAAGTTAGCACAAGGGTAGCAGCAGCAGCAGTTCTGCCGTAGATACAGAAAATGAATTACTCTGTACCTCTTCGAACTTCTCGAAGTTTTGAGTATCCAATTCATCGTTGACCTCAGGAATAAATGCAGCTTTCATTTGATACAACTTGTCCCATTCAATGCCCTTGAACCACGGGTGTGCCTACAAATAATAAGCCAGAACAACCAATAATTTAATTGCCACTCTATTATAGGAACTCAATATGTTAATGATTGATCAAAATTTAGAACAGAACACACCACACAACACCTTTATTTCATCTGCACCCTTGGTCCCAAGCCTTTGTTCAACATTGCATAAGAGTTTACTAATTAGATCCTTCGCTTCGGGAGAGAGTTTTGCTTCTTCTGGAAATTTCAAATGAGTTCTCCAATTAACTATCTGCATCATAGGTTAAAGAGAAAAAAAAAAAATTACTCACGAGAGAGAAAACAACGTCAAATCACAACACAAAAGAGTCAATTCCTAAATAACTAACTAAGCTACACAAATTAGAGATGATTTATCCAAATGGCACCATGTCCCTATAAGGCCCAGACCATCCTAAATTTTCCAGTTCACCCTTAATGAAATAAGAAAAATTAAGGCTCTGTGTACATATAAGGAATAACAATGAAGGATTGAAGATTATTTCCCCATTCTAATAATTATTGTTTACCCAAGTTGAAAATAATTAGGTCGCCAAACCTATCCAAAATAGTAGTTAGACCCGTCAGTCTAAGTAGCAACATCCTAAACGAAGGTGGAGGGCACTTTTCTCATTTATCCATTCTTTTTGTCCCATTTCAATTTTTAGTTTAACATTTTGCTTCACTACATAACTAGAGTCTTGTAACAATCTAAAATAATTCAGTAAGCACTAACATTAGAAGTTCTACTCCAATTTCTACCGGTTTTATTTTGATTGGCTTTCATTTTTTATTCATCCACATATTCATTCCCATCCAGTAAGCATGAACCAACATAAATGCGACGTACCCCGTGAGATTTAACTTCCATTCATGTTAAGAAATCAAGGGCCATAGGCATAATCAGCAACTAGTTCCATATTACCTTCCTACAAGTTGACATTGGCTCATCTGAGTAGAACGGTGGAAATCCCACTAGCATTTCATACATGATGGCACCAAGTGACCACCTGAAGTAGTTTTAGCAAAATAATTAAAAGGTTCTCTTGAAATATAAAAATATACCGAATAGAGCAGAAAGATGCTAACCAATCACATTCCATTCCATATCCTTTCTTCAACAAAACTTCCGGAGCAATATAATCAGGAGTTCCAACTGTAGAATAAGCCTGCATCCCAAATCACCTTGATGTCAAATACAAAAATCAGGGAAGCAACAAAAAGTTTGCAGTAAGAGGAGTGGTTGTTAAAGGTTTAAAATGGGAACTTCACTAAAGAGAGTGAAGAAACCCCTAGAATAATCAAAATCAAAAGGGAAAACTTTTGGTTCACCAGTACACCACTTTATAAGTGACTAATGTAAAGTAATTACAGATCTACCATACATGATACTGAACAACTTACAAGCATCCGCCTATTCCTTTGCCAATGCTGTAGTTGTTCCTGTTGTGTGCGTTTTGATGCCACAGGTCGCCCATCACTTTGAAGAGCACCACTGAGGTTATTTCCCTGGGAAAAATCCTTTTCTTGCAGGTTACTACAGTCTAATGGTTTACATAATCCAAAATCTGATAATTTCATATGGCCATCCTTGTCAAGAAGCAAGTTATCTGGCTTGATATCTCTGCAAAGCACACAGGAAATAAGGGTTACTCCAAAACAACCCAATGCAATTTATAAACTACAGAATAAATCAGGCAGGAGTTTTCACCTATGAATATAATTATGTTTATGGATTGACTCAATAGCTAAAACTGTTTCACCAACATAAAATCGGGCCTCGTCTTCTGTTAGAGT